TAGAATTCCTTAAATTATCAAGAAATCCCTCAAAATTTGATTAAAATTATTTAATAATTAAATATCGTCAAATAATTGGATAGATTTCCATAAATTAAAGTGGAATCTTTTACAATTTCTGTTGAAATTCTTTATATTAACTTGAAATCTGGAATAATTCTCGGTGAAAGTTTCATAAATTACGTTGAAATCTTTCAAAACCTGGTTTATATTCCTTAAATTTAACTTAACATCAATCAAAATTTACTTAAAATTCCCTAATAAAATGTAGAAATCGTCAATAATTTGGAGCGGATTCCATTTAATAAGAAGAAATCTTTCACATAATATATATAATTCCTTGTATTAACGTGAAATCGTCAAAGAATATTCGGAAAAACTTTCATAAAATAGGTTGAGTTCTTTCAAAATTTGGTTAAAATAACTTAAATAATTTTGAAAGTGTGAAAAATTTAAAAATATTCATTAAATAATATAGTAATTATCAGAAACTTAAAGTAATACCTTTAATAGGGTGAAATCTTTAATAATTTGGTTGAAATTCGTTATTATGTCATGAAAAAGTCAAAGAATTTTAGGTTAAATTAATATTATTTTCGTTAGATCCTTCAACATTCAAATAAAATTCCTTAAATTAACTTCGAATTGTTCAAAATTTCTTTAAATTTTTGATATATTATGTAAATCATAAAAGAATTTGCTAGAATTCCCAAAATTAATGTGAAATCTTCTACAAAATAATTGATATTACTTATATAAAGTTGAAATCGAGAAAGAATTTATGGTTAAATTTATATGAGTTAGTTTGAAGAAGGTCAAAATTAGTTTAAGATTCCTTAAATTATCATGAAATCCCTCAAAGTTTGATTAAAATTAATTATTAATTAAATATCGTCAAAAATTTGACAAATTTTTATAAATTAAAGTGGATTTTTTAAAATTTTGTTGAAATTCTTTACATTAACTTGAAATCTGGAATAATTCTTGGACAAAATTTTTTTAAATTACGTTGATATCTTTCAAAACTTGCTATATGTTCGTTAATTATAACTTAACATCAATCAAAATTGACTTAACTTTCCCTGAAATAATATGGAAATCATTAATATTTTGGAATGAAAACCATTTAATAAGATGAAATCTTTCGCATATTGTTTGTAATTCCTTATATTAACTACATTACTACATGTAAACGAACTGTACTACTGTTAACAATAGATGATACAGAATTGACCCTAGCACCAGCAGACGCCAAGGACAACATCTGGTCTTTCTGAGGGACAAGCAAGCTGCAGGTCACTTGAAAACCCAGAACGGAGCAGGAAGTATCGCGCTGTGTTTTCTGGGGATTTCAATGCTTAACTTCGACGGTGCGAGTCTTTGAAAATTTGAGACTTGACAGATACGAGTCGCAATAATTTTCGGAGGGGCGTACCTAGCGATCGTTAGCGTACCTCCATTTATTTGAGAGCTGTCAGGGGGACCGTGTTGTATTTAGGCCCAAATTAACATGGATCTGGTTAGGGATTGGCTTAATGCAAATGAGAGAAACACCCAAATTTTAGGTTCAGCCAATGAGCAAAATTTCAGAGGAGAGGAATCCAGGCGTTCCCGGAACCGTCGGGACTTCTGCCTCTCCAGAGCGGTCAGTCACCAACAGTGAATAACAGGGGTGAGCAGCCAAAGGGGAGCAACATGAATAACATCCCAGACGTTAAATCGGTGTTGGCCGAGTCCGGTGTACAAAGTCCAAGTGCTACAGCCTCGTAGTGTGTAATTCTAGTGCACATCTACAATAAAGAGCAACAGTGTTGGTGAAGTGCGGGTTTTTGAGTGTTTTCTCTCTCCTTGTGTGAGCAAGGCGCATTAGTCGCCCTGAGGCAGAATCCCGTCCTACCGTCTGAGCAGTCGGAATCCCAAACGCCTATCCATATCCCCCCTCCCCTTGTTTTCCCCGTTCCAAATTCGTGGATTTCATCCAAGTCCACTGGCACCCATACAAATTCAAATTCAGAGCAATCCCACACCCTACCCTGAAGCAGACAGCAACAGGAAGCGGCGGATGAAAGTGCAGACCACAAAGGGGCGAACGTGAAGGATAGATATAAGTGACGCCGAACGTGTAGGCGAACGGTAAGTGTGTAATAGCTTTGCGGCTTTGAAATAAAAAATGCGCTGTTTTGTTTCCCGTGTTTGCTGTTTGGGGGTGATGTAACGTGGACAAAAGATGATTTTAGAAATATAAACAAAATGAAAGAAAAAACTGAAAAGTATGAGAAGTCAAAGAAGCACGTTGATAATGTAGTTTCACTGTCACTTTTAGGAACCGTAAGTATTAAGAAGAAACTTAATGAGGCATACAGACTTTCAATCAATGAGCATAATGTAAAGGTTAAAAAGAATGGATTTCATTTTTAAATGAATAGATTAAGCTTGAACTGTAACAATTTAGGTTAAAGTAAGTAAAAAATGTTTGATTTTATTCTTTTAGGATTTTATCAATTTTCTGAATAAATTTTCTTTTTATACATGTTTGTTTCTTTTATACAATTTTAAAACAAAGGCTACAAATTTTCTGGAGTTGCACCCCCACGAATTTTAGCTACGAGCCGCCACTGAAAGAAAGCGTAATGATTTCTTCCGAGAGGTCGTTGTTGGTGCTATTGACATTACATTAAAAAAAATCCCCACGTCCAAATCTTAACATCCAATATTGAAGTAAAGAACAGTCTGCTACAAAGTTTTCACTTTCGTAAGAATGGCGACAGATGATTTTTTTCTTGTGAGAAAAAATAATTGCAAATACAAAATGTCTAAGCCATGCCCATCTGGCCTAAGCGACAGATGACAAACAGGTTTCTTCGGCAGATCCATCTGCTGAGCAGAATTACTACTACCTGTACACCTTCAGTGCACTGTTCTGTCCGGTTGTCCGGTTTTGTCTGTGTCGGCTATGGTACGATGACAACTGATGACGATCAAGACGAGACAAGTAGAACAAAGTCTTATACGTCTTATTTAGGTTTCGGATGTTACATTTATAATGGAAGTGTGTAAGTTTTGTGTATTCTTTAGGGAATAATTACGATCATTCGAGAGAAATTTAGTTTCCTCATATTGTTACAAATTATGGTGTTCATGATATAATTCCGCAGTTTCAAGTTCTAGTTGGGATTCTGCTAAACTCAGCGCCCATTTTGCGGGTAATGTTTCTAGTAGAATGTACATTTTTACTGTTTTATGCCCCTTCTCGCCTGTTCACATACCAATCCGACTTGTAAAGGAAGTCGTGAGAGCTGATGGTCTATGGTATGTACGTATATGCAAGGCATACAAATGCATTTTTGCTGCTCTACGTTGTAAATTTGTAGAGTAGGTTTACTGTTTCTAGGACGTAACTCCGTGTAGTCTGGTAGCTAGTTACCGACGATTTGGAAGCAAGATGCTCACACAAAATGGGTGAACTAGGTTCCTTCAGAACAGCACAAACTGTGAGACTACACAACGGTAATAAGACACTAAGCTTCATAATCATTGCCGGCCTCTGCTGTGAGAACGAAGAAGTCAACGAAAGCCACGTCAATGTGTTTGTTCAAAATAATTAGTATGTTTCCTTACAGACTTGGGCAAATATTCAGAGCTAGGTAGTGGTACACTTGTTAGAAATGTGATTCAATATCACTAGGATTCTTGTATATTAATTAATTTTCTACCCACATGTGTGATAAAATAAGTTTCAAGGTTATGAAAGATTCTGCATTTTCCTGCAACAGGAATGCCGAGAATTCTGCTACAGAGAGCTGAAGAAACATTTCCTGCTGTGCCAGAAAGGATGGTGAGTGTTTTGTGCTTGTGTGCACAGACAAGAATTTTGTTGTCATCAGTCAATTCTCATATCTTAAGAAACTAAACTTTTTATGCCAAGCTTGTGTTAGTTTTCATAATTCATGTGGGAAGTTTACATATTGTAACAATTTGCATTATTTTGTGGGAGAGGGATCAATTGAAGGAGAGTGATATGGGTATGTATGTATGTACGTATGTAAGGGTTAAGCCATAAAGACCCCCCCCCCCCTGTGACCTTCAGTGAACTGTTCTGTTTCCCCTTGGTTTAGCCCTTTATTAATCCTACATTTTTAATAAAGTGTATGACCCTGCTTATGGGGTCATTATAATAGTCACAAGTGACAAAATCTTAAATAAGGTATGGCCTCACAATCACAGGTGCTCCTGATTCATTTTCTTGTAGGCACCTTTCACAGGTTGGGTTGTCTGTCAGTCCCAACTTGAAAAGGTGTCCTTTCATGTGGTAGTGTCTGGTAAGTAATCCTACCACCCATCTTAGTTGATCTCTTTATAATCTCAGCAGATCTTTCCTTCTTCTGGCAGAGGGTCCTGCTATAAAACCCTTTGCCTGTCTGAGTCCAATTATATATTCCCAGTATTTTTTATGGTTTCTATCAGTCCAGTCCCTGATGGCTTTGTTGGCAACTCCAATTGAGATGCTGCAAGCTGCTTCAGGTCCTATGAATGGCTGTACAGACTGTGATACGGGTAGATCATATAGCATGCATGTGAGAATGAGAAATGACAGAAGACCTGAAAGAATAAGACCACTTGGGAGACAATTGTGAAGGTGGATTTTGTTAAAAGATACAATTATGGGGGGTTTGGACTGGGTTTGTTTGTATCAGGATGCAAAGTCATGATGGGCATGTGTGAACACAGTAATGATTGCTTAGGTTCCATAAAGAGCCGGTACGTATTGTATATACTTCCACAGGGACCACAGGTTTCTCAGGAAGGTCCGTGCCTTATGAACTTAACACTTCCTAAGATTATGAAGTCTGTAGAGAAGAAATCTGTACAGAGCAGCTACAGCAAGAAGAGCATATATTGTTTCATGTATGGTGTTGTACAGCCATGACTGATAGAAGATGTGATGCCATTACAGAACTGTACAAATTCGGAGAACGCTTTAGTGGGTCCATATGGTGAGACATACCCAAAACCTCAATTGGTAGATCAGGCCATGAATGTAAAAGCTGAGGCATTCTCAGATGCAGAAGAGGAAAACGATCCTCTGCAAATAACAGTTCAGGAAGTAAAGGCTGAACCTGAGGTGAGCTGTATGTTTCTGTATGTCCACTCTTAGACAGATATCACAAATAGGCAGGAATTGCAGTTGTCTTTCTCAGGGGCGGCCCTCATATAGGCACTGTGGAACTGCAACACCCCCAATTTCCACTTGGTATTATCAGTAACATTTATATAATGAGTCCTTTTTTTCTTTAATTCTTTCTTTATACTTGTACAATACAATATATAATCCTTAAGCTTAATGTCAGTAGCCAAATCTTTGTATGGAACTGTGCATTTCACAGTTCCAGTGGCGAGGTGTTTGCTGACCTTTGTCTGTTATGCGCATGCGCACATAGGAAGCTGCAGGTGAGGCTGCAAGGGAGAGGGAGCACTGTATTTCCTGCAGTGCCGAACGGTGCCAACCCTGGCGTGATGGTGGAAGGTAGTTTTTTTTACTCCGCGTGTGTTATGCTTAAAAACCGTGTACCATATTCTTGAATGTGAGTTAATTGTAGAATTAGATTATTATCCTGCTTCCAGCTATTCTATTTGATTCTTTTTTTTTTCGCTTCTTTTATTTAACTGAAAACTTTAACCATGGCCTTGCATCCCTGAGAAATAAGTTCTGTGACTAAGTGAACTTCCACAGATTAAGTTTTCACAACTGTCTCTCCATGAGAAAGTTGCAGTTAAGAAAAGAGTTCATTTAACACCTGATATTCTAATATCTCAGCCAGGCATAGACAAGAACAAGAAATATATTCGTAGCTTTAATTCTGAATGTTACAAACGGAAAAGTTGGCTTTGCGGCTGTGAAATAAAAAATGCACTGTTTTGCCTCCTGTGTTTGCCGTTTGGGAGTGTTGTAATGTGGACATAAGATGGTTTTAGAAATGTAAACAAAATGAAAGAAAAAACTGAAAAGCATGAGAAGTCAAGGAAGCATGTTGATAATGTAGTTACACTGTCTCTTTTAGGAACATTNACCAGTGAGTTCGGCCTCTACTGGTTCAGCAGTATCTAGATGCTTCCCCCATCTACCAGAGGCGTTAGAGACCATTGTTGGGCGGGAAATGTCCTTAATAATTTGGCTCAGAGGCCTCCTTGAGGCATGAGGTTCTTTTACGTGCCATAAAGCTACGACACAGGACCCACGGCTTAAAGTCCCTCCTGGAGGGCTTGTTCCCTGAATTTTTCTGCCCTTTAAAATTCCACGACCTCCGCCGGGTTTGAACCGGCGTACCTTGAGTCATGAGGTGGGAACGTTACCCGTAAACTATGGAGGCCGCTTAGGAACAGTAAGTATTAAGGAGAAACTAAGTGAGACATACAGACTTTCAATCAGTGAGCATAATATAAAGGTTAAGAACCGTGAAATTTTGTCCAAAATATTAGACTGCATTTTCTTTTGTGGAAACTTTGAAACTCCCTTACGTGGACATGATGAAAAGGTGATTCAATAAATCCAGGGGTATTTAGAGGATTAGTAAATTTTGCATGTAAATTAGATTCAGATTCAGCATCACTTAGAAACCAGCGCAGTTTTCAAAGGTGTTTGTAAGACCATTCAGAATGAGATACTTGACTGCCTGCTACAAATATACCATGAGGAGATAAGGACGGAAATTAGGAAGGGTTCCTTTGTAGCTGTCATGGCTGATGACACAACAGATGTTCAGAACACACTCAAATGGTCATTGTTCTACGGTATATTGAATGGAGAAATATTTGAGCGTTTTTGGGGATTCTTTATTCCAGAAAATCAAACTGCAGATGGCATATCAAAACGTATTTTAGAACAACTGGACATAATCCTTCAAGGAAATTGACAAAAACTGATAGCTCAGACATTTGATGGTGCAAATGTCATGAAAGGCAAAAAAGCAGGAGTTCAAGCAAAAATGAAAGCAGTTTATAGTAATGCACATTTCTTTCACTGCTATGCACATCAACTTAATTTAATAATGAGAAATGCAGCAAGTATTACACGAAACGCAAGAATATTTTTCTCTAATATTCTCGCTATTCCAACATTCTTCTCTTTCAACCTCGTGTCCACAGAACGGCCCATTTGCCCGATGTAGACCTTGCCGCACTCACATGGAATTTACAGAACATCAACGGCATATACGATTAGAACATCTGGACAAGTCAGCTGTAGCTGAACACAGCATCGATCTAGACCACCGTATCGAGTTTCACAAAACGGCCATAATCACCAGTAAGAGCCGTTACCTAGATCGCATAATCCTGGAGGCCGTTGAGATCAAGCTCCATCCGAACAACATGAAAAAGGAAACGGTTCAGTCTCAACAAGTCATGGAAGCCACTCATCTCTTGCCTCAAGAGAAATACAACAAGCCACTCCAGTTCTTCGCCATGTCATTGACGTCAGTAGCCTGTCCCCTGTATCATGTCATTGACGTCAGTAGCCTGTCCCCAACCAACTAGTTCTTCTTGCCTACCGCACTTCCTAGTGCTATTGACCTCAAGTTCCTGGATTTACTGGCCGTCCCCCCCCCCTTAGCACACAACATCATATGGTCTTTATCGCTCTCAACAATCTCGACAGACGTGAAACATCCTTTCCCTCAAGAGAATCCAACTAGCCACACCAGTTCTTCGTCATGTCATTGACGTCAATAGCCTGTCCTCAACCTACCGGTTCTTCTTGACTACCGCACTTCCTAGTGCTATTGACCTCAAGTTTCCTGGACTCACTGGCCGTTCCCCCCCCTCCCTTAGTCACACACCATATATGGTCTTAATCGCTCCCCACTGCTCCCATTGGTCCGTTCTCCCTAACCAACCCCCTTGCCTACTTCGTATATAAGCAGCGCCTTTCACATCCTATCACCACAGCTACTGCTCTCCGCATTCCAGCCATTCAACTGCTCTGAAGATGGAGGCGCTACGTTCCTCCGAAACGTCGGCCAACACGAAGAATACACGGTGCCTAAACCCAGAAGATGACTCTCTTTAATAAACTGCCTTACTGAAATTCAGTCAACATCAAATGCAGATCAAACCATTGCAGAAGCAACAGGAATTTTAAAATACCTGAATGATGATAATTTCAAGTTTTGGTTAGATCATAATCATCAGATTATGCCTCATGTTGAAATAATTTACAACCAAATGCAGTCTTGAGAAATTAGTGTGTTTAAAGTTAATGAATATATAACAGATTTCAGAACTGCTATTTTAGAATTGAGAAACTCAAAGTACTGTGAGAATCCTTCAAAGACACTCATGGCAGAAGCTAAGGAAGTGTGTGACTGTATGTGTTGATATAATGGACAGATATTCTTGCACTAAACACTTAGTATCTGCTAAATTGTTCAACAAGAAATGCTTCACTAGTTTTAAGAATGAATATCCCACAGAAGAGATAGAACTGACCACTGACGCATATCCCATGATTGACAAAGGAAAGCTTGAAACTGAACTGAAATTTATCTTGGAAAATAATCTAGATAATATTTTTAGTGAAATTACGAAACTGATAAAAATCTTCTTGACAGTTCCCATGACTACGTCAGAATCAGAGCGCTGCTTTTCAACATTGAAAAGAATAAAAAATTTCTAAGAAGCACTATGAATTCGGAAAGACTAAATGTGCTTTCAGTGCTTTCAATGGAGAAGAATTTCCTCATTTGTCATCCAGAGATCTAGGAGAAAATTATTGATCTTTTTGTGCAAATTAAAACAAGAAGAATGGATTTCATTTTTAAATGAATAGATGAAGCTTGAACTGTAACAATTTAGGTTAAAGTAAGTAAAAAATGTTTGATTTTGTTCTTTTAGGATTTTATCAAGTTTCTGAATAAATTTTCTTTTTATACATGTTTGTTTCCTTTTATACAATTTTAAAACAAAGGCAACACCCTCACTAATTTTAGCTACGAGCAGCCACTGGTCTTTCTCATCTTTGTCTCTCTGTTTGTGCACTTGAAAAAACTCCCCTGTGCTGCTGACTTGCCTTTGAAGGCCTTTATATGAAGTGTCTCTAAACAGTTATAGTTTTTTGAATGTATGCTGCTTGTGATGTACCACTTCTGTTTCCTTTTAAGCAGTTCTGATGCAGATGAAATTAAATTTTGCATAAACGGAACAGTGTTTGAGAGAAATTCTATAGCAGCAAATATCCTTAGGGAGTCATGGAAATGTTCGCAGTTAGTTACTGGTACACTTATTAGAAACAAGAATTTAAGTTACTAGGACTCTTGTGAGCTAATTACAGTGAACCCCACAAGATATATATCATGTGATGAACAGGTTCCAAGGTTACAAAAGATTCTGCATTCTCTTGCAACAAGAGGGGCAAGAATTGTACTGCAGGGAGCTGAAGAAAACTTTCCTGCTGTAAGCAAAAGAATTGTGAGGGTTTCGTGCTTGTGTGCACAGACAAGAATTTTATTGTTGTATTTCAGTTGTCTTGGCCAAAGATACTGAATATTTGTGACCCGCTTCTGTTTGTTTGCATATTCCATGTGGGGAGTTCCTTACACTTGGGTGATAACAGGTTGGGATATTATTTAGAAGAGCAGTGCATTAAAGGAGAGTGATGTGGGTAAGTCAAGTAGTGCCCATGCAACAGTGAGAAATGCATACAAAGTTTTGGAGGGAAAACCTGAGAGAAGCAGACCACTTGGGAGACCTAAGTGTGGATTTGAAAGAAATAATATGGAAGGGTTTGTACTGGGTCTTTTTGCTTTAGGATACAGAGCCATGATGAGCATGTGTGATCACAGTAATGAGCCCTTTCTGGCTTTCTCAGCTTATCCTGTATTCATTCCTCTTCTCCCCCATGCCTGTTATATGAGCTGCCTATCTCATCATCCTTGACTTGATCATATAATTATGTTTGGTGAATGAAGGTTACAAGTTGTGGAGCTCTTTATTATGATGTTTTAGGTACAAAAACAGATATTTTCTGTACTGCCGCAATGACTGATAGTTTCTCGGGAAGGTCTCTGAGCTATGAACGGAGTACTTTCTAGTGATCGTGATAGCTGTAGAGAAGAACATCTATACAGAGCAGCTCTTATGAGTTAGTTAGTTGTGATGAGAAACAGCCATAGCAAGAAGAGCATGTGCTGTTTCATGTGTGGTGTTGTGCATCCATTTCTGAAAAGGATGTGATGGTTTTTACAGAACTGTACACATTTGGAGAACGTTTTAGTGGGTCCATATGGTGAGACATACCAAAAACGTCAATATGCAGATCAAGCCATGAATGTAAAAGATGAGGCAGTCTCAGATGCAGAAGAGGAAGAGGATCCTCTGCAAATAACAGTTCAGGAAGTAAAGGCTGAACCTGAGGTGAGCTGTATGTGCACTGTTAGGCAGATGACACAAATGTGCAGAAATTCCACTTGTCTTGTCTGTGAACATGAAACAAATCCACTGTGGTGTTGACTAGATTCTGAAGATTTCTTTATCCATAAATGTCTCAAGGCAACTGTAGTTTGTAGAATGTTGCTTGTGATGTACCAGTCCCATTTTCTTTTGAGCAGATCTGATAGATGAAATGAAGTACAGTATAAACTGAATGTTTGCGGTAAATTATATACAGGAAAAATTCTTCACATTTTCTTTGTCGCATCCACAAAGCAGTGCACAGTTCAGGAAGTAAAGGCTGAACCTAAGGTGAGCTATATGTTTCTGTATGTCCACTCTTGGGCACATATCACAAATAGGCAGGAATTCCAGTTGTCTTTCTCAGGGGCGGCCCGCGTATAGGCACTGTGGAACTGCAGCACCCCCAATTTCCACTTGATATTATCGATAACATTTATATAATGAGTCCTTTATTCTTTAATTCTTTCTTTATACTTGTACAATACAATATATAATCCTTAAGCTTAATGTCAGTAGCCAAATCTTTGTATGGAACTGTGCATTTCGCAGTTCCAGCGGCGAGGTGTTTGTTGACCGTTGTCTGTTATCCGCATGTGCACAGGCCGAATGGTGCCAAACCTGGCGTGCTGGTGGAAGGTAGTTTTTTTTTTCCACCTGTGTAATGCTTAAAAACCGTGTACCACATTCTTGAATGTGAGGTAATTGTAGAATTAGATTATTATCCTGCTTCCAGCTAATCTATTTGATTCATTATTTTTTTCGGTTCTTTTATATAACTGAAAACTTTAACCATGGCCTTGCATCCCCGAGAAATAAGTTCTGTGACTCTAAGTGAAGTTCCACAGCTTAAGTTTTCACAACTGTCTCTCCATGAGAAAGTTGCAGTTAAGAAAAGAGGTTGTTTAACACCTGATATTCTAATATCTCAGCCAGGCATAAGCAAGAACAAGAAATATATTCGTAGCTTTAATTCTGAATGGTACAAACGGAAAAGTTGGCTTTGTGGCTGTAAAATAAAAAATGCACTGTTTTGCTTCCCATGTTTGCTGTTTGGGTGTGATGTAATGTGGACATAAGATGGTTTTAGAAATATAAACAAAATGAAAGAAAACAATGAAAAGCATGAGAAGTCAAAGAAGCACGTTGATAATGTAGTTTCACTGTCTCTTTTAGGAACAGTAAGTATTAAGGAGAAACTTAATGAGGAATACAGACTTTCAATCGGTGAGCATAATATAAAGTTTAAAAAGAACCGTGAAATTTTGTCATTTGTTTTCTGTCTCCCATGCAGTCTGTATCCATGTAATAACATAGAGGTGTCATTATGTTGAGGATTTGTAACAGGATAACTAATGATTCTCTAAAGATATGTGACAATGTGTGACTGAATATAGACACGTGTTACCTGTTGCCCTTTGTTTGAAGTAAATTTAATATACCTGACACTGTTGGACTTCCCCCCTGCACCTACTATCAGGTGACTGGTTGTCATGACAGATTTTTTTGTTGTTTTCTCTCAGACAGAAAGGTGACTGAACATTATATGCAAAGAATGTGTGAAAGGTGTAGAAAGCATCAGTGAAGAACTGGCATTGGCAACACATGCTAATACAAGTATATAGACACAACTGTGGTGAAATGGAATATGCAATGCATGTAATTAAACTCACAAATAAGGCTCTTAATGAACATCAAAGAAAATTTCTATATATACATATAGACAGAGGTTCTTACTTTTCTTGCCCTGTTTACAGCTCTGCATTTCACAGTGACTGACACACTGCTGGCTGCAAGGCGCATACAAATTTTGACAATGAATCAGTATGCTTGTGGCCAGTAATGTTTGGAATGAAGTATACAATTCACAGGTCACAGAAGGTGTTGAAAATGCTGTCCCCCTACATGTAGACATTCCTTGCACCAGCAGAAGGGGTTCTGATTAACCCTTAACCTTTAACAGATGAATGTTTTATATATATCTACAGCAAGTAGCACCCTGTGTTGGCCAAATGTTATATATTTATGTATATGCATGGCAGGACTCTGTTCTCTTTGGGAGTGGTGACAGTTTTAACTTGTGTTTGTAACC